CTTTCATATCACTGCCAATGGAAATGAAACAAATTTCTAAGAAAAATAAAATAATAATTGTAATAATTAAATATACAATTGATTCTAGACATTTGACTCGTACTGTGTAGGACTGAGTGCACTAAACCAAAAATGTCACTACCTGGGAACCGAATGATTTATTCATATGCTGTGAATGGGATATGACCTCTCAGCACTGATCACAATCGTGTTCTTTTTGACATTTGCAGTACAGAGGTCTGCTCACTCATCCTCTCATGGAAAGGTGCAGCGCAGCGTCATGACAGCAGCATGCGAGACAGGAATATAAAAGGGGAATTAGTCAATTTACGTTTTGAAATCAAGGTAGTATAAGAACAGTTCACTTTTACAGGAAGCACCTGATGAGATGGAAGAGAGGACTGAATCTGAAGATAAAAAATATTCTCAGTCTTTCCTCCCTCTCTCTTCCCACTACCTGTCTCCGATGCCACATGTTATTTTTCTCCCTTCCCCCTACTCTTCTTTCATATAGTCAGTCCCAGCATTTCCAGAATTTTATCGTGGCAGAAATTCCAAGCCCATGCGAGTCACGCTACCTCCTCTTCTCGCCCGTACTGACTATATTGTATTGTATTCGCCTCAATTCAATGGGGCGTTTTCCCTTTAAAATAATTTGCGATTAAATGCGATTATCGCAAAAACAATTGATACCTCCAACCATCGATAGTGGTATCGACGCATTGATCTGTCATGACAGCCCTAGTTATAATGATGCTGACTTGGACTATGAGCCTGGTCTAAGCAGAGTTCTTGGATTTATGAGATACTTCAGGGAAAATTTTCCATTCGTACCTTTTGCTGATATAGAAACAGGTGAGGGCTGGCGAACAAGAGAACGAGGAATGGAGAATTGTTAGTAAGAAAATTGGTGTACTGGCAAGAGACACTGCGAAGGATATGGGCGGGTGCAGGTCCATTCATGGTCACATGCCGTCACTGCATTCAGATGTATTGTAGTATCTCGACAGGGCGGAAAGATTATTCTTGAATGCGACGTAGTACAGGGTGTACCAAAATATGAACTCTTGTAATAACTGTACATCCTTGAGTTAGGGCTGAGACCAAAATACCAATGTTTTTGGCCAATTTTCACTTTTATACTTATATTTACCAGCTTCACGCTGGAAAGCAATTTCTGTCACTATTTTTCTCCGTCGCCGTAATTCGAAATCTAAAATAACATTCACTGTGAATTGTTCGAGAACAGACTGAAACATAGTCTACCAAATTTTCTTTTACTGGCTTCCCTTGTGAGAAAATTTCGAATTATTTGTAATTGGTCTATTGGAAGCATATCGATCTGTACATGGATGAGGATCACATTTCCAGTAGATAATATATCTTTACGTGCAAGCTTGGGCACAATTGACAAGCCCTGACGCGAGAGAAAAGCCAGGCGATCGACCGACTCGGTCAGTAGGTTAGATGAGAAGAATGAAGGTTATATGGTTAAATGAAGCTGAGGGATTCCCTCTAGTCCTTGAAAATAGACTAAGCCATCTCACAAAGATCACAAAGGAAAAATAGGAGGAATTCTCGGAAGCTCTTCGCCGCCGCGCCATGAACAAAAACAAACACATGTATTCATGAAGACTGCAGCGGAGTCTGCAGTTTCGGAGATGACATCAGGCACGAGACGGCCGCATGGGAGGCCACCTTGCCCTGCTGGGCACAGGAGGCAACACTTCCTTCTTCCATTCCCTCTCTACTTCACTGTCTTGCATCCATGCAGCAAAAAATCGCTTTCTCTTGGATTAACGTATAGCACGAATGCGTGCATCGATTTTGTTTACGTACGGCCTTCGTTTTTTCTCTTACTAGCGGCCTACGGCCGCAACGCTTGCCGTCTAATTGGTGGACATTTGAATTGTCTATTGTGAGCTTAACGTCTCCTTGACAATCCTCTTTTCATCGCATTACCCATTCGGAACTGAACCGCTTCATTACATTTATACACATACGAGTTGTGGCTATTATGTTTCCAGACTGGTTTTATTGCTGAACTTTGAGAGAGAGGAGGGGAGTGGGGCTATGGCAGTAACACGGAGGGGAGTCTTAGCTTATAGCTGGGCAAGTTTCAGTGTGGTCTGACCAGCGCTCTGCGAGCCGCGGCCAGTTAAGATAGACCGTATTTGTTTGCGCTGGCGGATTTGAAATGGAGCATAATCTCGAGCAGAGAACTAACGTCAAATTTTGTGTTAAACTGGGAAAATCCGCAACTGAAACGCTCGAAATGTTAAGAAAAGTTTATGGTGATCATACTATGTCAAGAGCGCAAGTTTTTTTGTGGCATAAAAGGTTTAAAGAGGGAAGAGAAGACGTCAATGACGACCAGCGTTGTGGAGCGCCAATCACCAAACGAACACCTGAAAATGTCTCAAAAGTTACGGATTTAGTGCGTTCAGACAGGCGGTTGACAATTAGAATGATAGCAGAAGAGTTGAATTTAGATAAAGAAACTGTTCGACGGATTTTGAAGGATGATTTGAGCATGAGAAAGGTGACAGCGAAAATGGTGCCTCGATTGCTGACAGCTGAACAAAAACAAAGGCGATTGGACGTTTGTTTGGATCTCTCAGAAAGAGCTGGAGAAGGAAATATTTTGGAGAGAATCATCACTGGAGATGAGACATGGTGTTATCAATATGATCCGGAAACGAAACGTCAATCCCTTGAATGGAGAACTGCAAATTCACCGAGACAGAAAAAAGCCCGAATGTCGAAGTCGAAAATCAAGACGATGCTGATTTGTTTTTTTGATGTCAACGGAATCGTCCACTCCGAATTCGTCCCAGAAGGACAAACAGTCAACCAGATGTTGTACCAGAACGTTTTGAAGAGGTTGCGTGAGGCTGTGAGGAGGAAAAGGGGCGATCTGTGGAAGGAGAACTCGTGGATCTTGCATCACGATAACGCGCCGGCTCACACAGCCCTGTCTGTCCGAGAGTTTTTGGCCGCCAAACGGATCACTGAAATGGATCACCCGCCGTATTCGCCCGATTTAGCCCCCAGTGACTTTTGGCTATTTCCCAAACTCAAAAATTTTTTGAAAGGCCATCGATTTCAAAGCATTGAATACATTCAAACAAATGTGATGCAGGCTCTGAAAGACATCCCGAAAGAAGCCTTCCACCGCTGTTTCCAGCAATTGCAGCATCGTTGGGATAAGTGTATACGTTCTGGAGGGGAGTACTTTGAAGGCGATAAATGTGATTAATTTGTAAGTTTAAAAGTAAAAAATACAAAAATAAAGTCTGGAAACTTAATAGCCACACCTCGTATAGCTTACAGTACACAGGGAAATTCCGTTCCTAAACACCATCATCATGATATTCGAGCTGATTGCTACAATCGCCATTGTGAACGCCTCGGTTTAGCACGTTTTCAAGAGACTCAAGACGACTTTGCTGATTTCGTCTTCCTAGCACATTCAATCCTCTTGCATCACCGATTATCTCATGGGCTAATAGCGTTAGTGTATGGTACGGACACCAATGCTTCTGAAACAGTACGGACCATTTCCAAGAACTTGTTCGACGGCACAGAGGGAAGTTAGTGCACGTGTGGCACAATGCTAGCGACTAATTCCTGAAAATGCCTCGCCGCCACATTGGCACCAGTGAACAACACTTTCTGAGCCTCGGGGTAGAGTGTGAGTTGCAGCAGGAGCATTTTTCCTTTGTACCAGCAATGTGAAACAAATGCCCCCTCCTTACATCATAATGTACTGCCTGACAGTGCTCGCTGCGGCAAACGACTGTAGTGATTGAGTTGACATGGAGAGGGATAACATCCTGAGTTCCGTGGTGTAACGGTAACAGACCTGACCGGCAAGCAGGAGGTCCGGGTTCATTTCCGGTCTGCCCCCCGGCTTTCGACACCTGAGTGCTGCGTTCCTTGCATCAAGTTGCTCAGCAGGCTGCACGGCTCTCCTATTCCGGAGCTCAGCATTCGCTGCCTCTTGCTGTTCAACGGTCTGAGTGGCCCTATGCCCCATACGCACATCTGCTTGTTGTTCATCAATTTTTCTAGCCTTTACGTCGAAGACGAATTGCTCAGGACAGTTGAGCTCGACCGGCTGGAAATGAAAGAGACATTTCAGCAGATATTTCAGCAAGACAATGATCCCAGACACACCTCGCCAATGGGTCACCAATGTTTCCAGGACCACAGAATCGAGGTCCTAGAATGGCCAGCAGTCACCAGACCTCAACCCAATGGAACATCTGCGGGCAAGACTTCAAGCGATGACTGGCTGTGTACGAAAATGAGCCGATCAGCATCCACCAGAGCGGTGACGGCGGGTCACAACCGAGTGGGATGCCATTCCGGTCCAAATGTGCTTGGACTTGATCGAAAGCATGTCAAGAAGGATACTGGTAGTGCTGAAGGCCGAAGGCGAATATACAGAGTATAGGTAAATTCGAATTTCTGCACACAGCTGCAGCTCAGCCAATAGGAGGCCAGTTGATACCCAACTAGCACTTATCGAAAGCCAGGAAGTAGGAGTATGATTGACTGAAATATAAGTTACATTGGCCGCGTCATACTCGAGTTATGAGACATCTACTGGAACTGTGTCAAACATTAACATAGTTTTGTCCCTCACTGGACTTTCACAGTCTAATATGTGTTTATTTTGTGAGTGGGTTAATTTTCAACTTACTTACTGACTAATCCTCGTACATATCTGAAAGAATCACTGTCCCCAGCGTGCAAAGAGATAGCCAGAGATTTCGCTCTTCACGGAACCGGACTGCTCGAACCACTGCAACTTTGTTCCTCTCCCTGCCGGGTTGCAGATGAACTGCGACGGTCAAGACGGTAAGACGGAGAGCCTGCTGGAGTCAGAAATCATCGATCAACTCGACAGACGGCGGAGAAACGCGTATTTCCTTCGACGAACCGGTTTTAGGCCAGGTGGGATTATTCTAAACAGCTACAATTTTCAGAATAAAATGAAGTAAGACGTGATTCAATGACATGAGTGGCTTTTAAATATTTTGAAAGTGTTATTCCTAATTAAAGTATACAGCTGACATCATGCGCAAAAAATCGATACAGAGACTTTGGAAATTGTCTCCCTTGTATAGCGTAATATATTATCTTGGTTGGAGCTTAGGGGGAATCTTATTTAGTCTTTGAGTCCCTCATCGAGTTTTCAGTCCAAAAACTTATCAAAGTTCCGAAAATGATCCTTATAATGTTAGTAGCTGGAGTTCTTTCGCTGTGGTGACTATGCCTACCTTGTAATCCATTTTCTAGCTCTTTCGTTTTGGAGTCTGATCGACCGATAAAATACTTGAAGCAATCATTTTTGTCAGCCAATCACTGCTGGTTCTGGGCAGATGCAATGTAATGGCCAAGACTTGATCCGACTTGGTCAAGACGAGGCATCTCATGGCCAAACATCTCAGCATTTTGGGTATTTCTCACCAATCAACCATGAACCTTTCCACTCTCTTCATTTTGTTTTGAATTCCGTGCGACCACCTGCCCCGTCCCACGGGAAGGTTCTCATGAGAAAGATATATTTCGAAATTCCCGTGTCACATGTGAATTTTCCCATCCGCAGAATAAAACATTGCGGTTACGTGAGTTTGACTTATTTCCAGCCTCGTCTTCTCGCTTGTGGAGTCGATATCAGACACGTGGAAGACGATGGGATTCTGGATATTCCTCCTCCTTACTTGTAATTTTTTATCCTTAATCCCCTGGACGTGCGGCCAGGAGGCATACCCATGCCCCCCGAGCGAGGATATTTCCCCCTGCAGCTGCGAGTACGACGCTCCCTCTTTCATCTCCGTCGACTGTACCTTTGCGAACACGAGTCAAATCATCTCCGCCTTCAATGGCGTCGCCTGGTTCCCGAACCTCACGTGAGTGTGGGGTTCTCCATCGTGAGCCATAACTTCATCCTGGATGAAAATAGTTCGCTTCAGCTTTTACCAACTCCAGAAACCTGGGGGAAAAGGTATTGCTTACGTTATGGAACATTACCGTACAGTGAAATCTTCGGTTAGATGGGATCAGACCCATCCCCATCGTTTATCATTGAATCCAAATACAAAGTAGGTTTCATGCTTCTATTTTTTTCCTCGCAGGAACTTCTACGTGTGGTATAACGACTGGGTGACAGAGCTCCCCGAAGGAGTCTTCGGAACTGTCACCTTCGAGAGGATACAACTGAACGGCGTCCGGAACCTGAACTCCGTCCACCCGTCGGTCATACTCGAATCGAAAGACAGACTCCAACAGCTTCTCATCTGCGATTGCCTCCTGGATCACTTCCAATGGGACATCCTCTCCCAGTTGACGGAGCTCAAATTTTTCGGTCTGTGCGACTCCGACGTGACGGACCTGCCAGTCTTCGACAGTCTAATCCTCGAGGGTCTCTACCTTCCGGGCAATCGCATCTCCACGTTCGAAGCTGGATGGTCCACCCCCAACATCAAGTATTTGGACATGGGTGCGTAAAATCGTTCAGGATACGATAGCTAGCAGTTTGAAGTCCTCCTAGTCCCTCTTTCCTTATATACTTGTTTGCACCAGCAATTTCTCATAGCCCATGATGAAGGGGTCTTACATTTGAAATTTACTCTGGTCCCTATTTGGGGAATGTGACAATGCGCATT